GTACTAGGTCCGGTTAATAGCTCTTGGGTGTACGCATATCCACTCAGTGCCGATGTATTATCAGGCATTCTTTCTATTCTTTCTGAAGCATTTCTCCGTCGTCTTACGTATATATATATATATATTAGGACTACAATCATCATTTCTTCCTCAAAAGTCAACATATCTATTGAAATAAAGAGGCATATTGTAAATCCAACAAAAAACCTTATAAATCCAAAAAATAATGCATAAAATAAACATAAATAACCAACGCTTATCATAAATCCAAGCCATATACATATCATAAATCCATAGCCACATACATATCATTACTTGTAACAAAAAACATCATATATCCAAAAAAACGTGGCACCAAATTGTCATCCAAAAAACCTCACAAGTTAATAACATAAAAGTTCTAAAAATGTTCTACTTCATAAAAGTTCTAAAAGTTCTAAATCTTTACTGATATCCTTGTTTTGCCCCAACTGTTCTCACCCATTCTTTGGCAATTTCAGACGGTATTGTCATCCAAGCTTCTCTGTTACGGTTGTCCGTATGAAGAGAAAAGGTAATGCGGTACAAGGGATCATCTTTTGCCCACCCAAGCTCGTTCAATTTTTGTAGGCATGACTCATAACTAACAAGCGCAGAGTTCCCATATTTCGATGCCATAGTATCTAAAAACTTGATAAGCTTTTCATCAAGCTCCGAGTTGGCTCTCGTAGTCTTTTTATGCTTTTGTTTCTCAACTGGAGCACGGGATGAACAAGGTGTTGAAGAAACGGGAGCTTGATCACTTGAGACATTGATCTCTTCCTCAATGACAACAAAAGGCTCGGTAGTTGGCAACGGGTGTTTTGATGACGGTCCATAGCCTCCAATATCCGTGGACATACCACCCTCAAATAGTCGTGCACACAAGTCGGGATATGGAAGACTTGTAGTCCTCAATGATTCAACATACCTATTGGTCTGTGTTAAAGAAACATTTATAAATATACAAACAAAATAAAAAAATCGAAATAAAAAAGATCTAAAGTTAGAAAACGACCTCTATCTCCAAGTCCCATTCCTCGGGGGTCAAGTTAAAAGTATTCGTTGAAGGATCATAAACATTGCCGGTTTTGTTTTTTAACTTCAACCAAGCACCATATTTTCCTTTAAGGTAATCGAAATGGTTCCTCATTTGTTTTCGATCCACAACAAAGTTATGTGTGCTTTTCAACGTATCGGCAACTTTCTTCCACGAAAGTGCCTTCAAGTTAGCACCCTCGTTACCATTTAACCCAACCTCTAGAATACAACTTTCTAAGAAAGTTTTGACAACATTGGGATCCTTCCAACTAACTCTAACCCTTTTTTGTTGTTGTGTTTCACCTGTTTGTTCCATACCTATGACGAAGATTGGAGCTATTAAACAAGGAAAAGAAATGATAAAATTCTAATACAAATAACTAAACCCAAATTGAACCAACTGTTTGAGTTAAAAAATAGATTATCATCTGTTTTAAAAATTAGATAATCTGTTTTGGTGAAGTCTCCTTGTACAAAAACAACATTGAAAAACAGCATTGAACGCACTTTGGCTTTGAAGTAACAGATAATCTGTTTTGGCTGTATTTAACAGTGTTACGGTTCAAAAACAGAGAGCACATACTCTGGTCTAGTTCAAAAACAGCAAGCACATACTCTGGTCTAGTTCAAAAACAGCAAGCACAACAATTGTGTATGAGGAGGCTGTAATAAAGAGTGGAGAAACAGCAGCAACAAACAAATACATAGACCAGCTATGGGTTTTCTCAACTTAGAAAATCAGCAGCAACAAACCACATACATAGACCAACTAGGGTTTTTCTATACGCAAATCAACAGCAATATAGCAACAATATAACACCAATCGAGCACCAATCGAGCAAATAATCTATAGATACAGAGAAGTAGTTACCTTTGGAGAAGAGACACAAATAATCGATCGGCCGATTAGGGTTGTTGCAGAAGAATGCGTCGATTATTGAGGACAAAGAGCGTCGTTAAGATCGGAGATAGCGGCGATTGTTGAGGAGAAAGCGTTGATTGTTGAAGAGAAAGCGTCGATTGTTGAGGAGAAAGCGTCTTGATCAGCGTCAATTTGAAGAAGGGTAGGAGCGTCCATTTTCTGGCTTAATGTGGACAACCGAAGGTAGCCGGCTGGGCGATTAAGCCCATGTCTGGGCGATTAAGCCCGAAGTAAACACCCTCATATGTCTGCGYGAATAAGCCAATTCACCCATTAAGCCTTATTAAGCCCTAAGTAAACAGGCCCTTAGTCTTTTTGCAGTCACTGTTATTTGTTGCAGGATTGAGACATTCCCCAGCTCAAGCAACGGCAGTTAGTTGGTGAGAAAGAGCTCTTAACAAATGTCAATCGTTCGGAAACCTTTAATTGATTATGATGGTGTCAAACAGATACTTAAAGACGGTATGCAGCATATGGGAAAGCTAATATGTAGCAATTTAGGTGCAAGAATGGATTCTGATCCCAAACGGTGGCGGATTTTTGGTCTGAACCATTCTAGCAAACACGTGTTTTTTTTCTTTCTTTATTTACCTTTATCACTGAAATACTAACTTTTATGGYGTTTTCAACTTGTAGCTGATGTGCTTTACGACTTGGGCACGGGTTTGGAAGTTCTTTCACTTTTATGTCCACAATTGTTTCTTGAAATGGCTGGACTTGGGAATTTTGCCAAGGTAAATTGGTGATGAATGATTATGGGTTGGGTTCTRGTGGGTACTGTGAAGTTGGGCTGCACATGGGTTGGGTTGGCCGGTTGAACGCATTTGAACAACCCAACCCAATGTTTGTGGTTTGAAAAACTTCAACCCAACCCAACCTATGCGGGTTGGGTTGGGKTGGTCGGCGAAAATTTGGTATATCATTTTACAATCTAGCACAACGTTTGTGTTTAAACGAAGTAAAATCAAAATGAGAACATACAAAAAAGGTTAACAAACTAAAAGAAAAAGTTGATGGCTTACGCAAATAAGAAAGTAAATTACGGTTGAAATWGTAATATAATTTTGAATATAATTAGTACGGGTTCGTCCAATGTCTAATTTACATATATTTGGGCAAAAAGTTGATTACCGGCAACCCTAACCRCCCCACACGAAMCCGCCTCCAAGGACACCAATGTGAGTGGGTATTTTTTGGCTCGTTCAAGAGCTGAGGCCAGTGGGGRCCAGGATTGAACCCGGGACCTGTTATATATGTGGTAAAGTCTTCCTATCCTTTTACATATATTAATCAAAGACTTAACAATCATATTAAATTCATWGTATAGAAAGGCATCGGGTTCATTGGGTTGGGTGGGTTCAAATTACCCTAACCCAATTCCAACTTAGTAGATTCGGTTTTGGCCTAATTTTGTATCAATTTATGTATCAGGTTACATCGGGTTAATTTTTTTTTGGGTTGAATTGGCCTAGTTGGTCTGGTAGATCGGTTGTTTGAGCACCCCTASTGTGAAGATACCTTTATATTGTGAGAAYTGTGATGATGCCTTTACGATGATAACTTATCTCATCGGCATAATTTGACAGGGAATGGCCACGGTTGCTGCAAGAGCGACAAGATTGCCGATTTATTCTTCATTTGCGAAAGAGGGAAATCTTAGTGATTTATATGCAAAGGGAGAGGCGATTTCCACCGTATTCAATGTGGTTGGATTTGGAGCAGGGATTTTGTTAGTTTCTAGCATTTGTTCATCAATGCACGGGTAGGTAAAAGTAAAATCCATTTTCACTTGCAAAAGAAACCGAATAGTTTATTCYTTTTCTGCCATCYAAATATGTGGGACCCTATTAGATTACTGTCCAGAAGAGCCGTTGAATACAGAAACCATCGTTGATCATACATATCTCTCTATATTTGTTAAAAAGCATCGAGTCATGTTTCCGTACCCCATTCGATCAATGCTCAGTTCATTCTTATCAAGATGATGATCATCATGCAGATACAAACACAGTTGTATCTGTGGCCATGCACACTCACCTGTACATACATATTAGTACTTGCTTTTGCTTACATGTGTTTTTCTTTTCATGCCATAGCCTCTTACATGGCACTCTCTCCTTCACCTTCTTCCACTATAAAACCCCACCTCACAATCTCCATTCGCCACACCATCTCATCATCTTTTCCAYCACCACTMTCAATGGCGATCAAAGCTTCTTTGCTTCTTGCTTTTTTCCTGCTCTTCGCCGGAACCCTAGCTCGTCATCAGCAGCACCAGCAACAGCAGCAAAACCAGTGCCAGATTAACAGGATCAACGCTCTCGAGCCTTACGAWAGTATCCAAGCTGAAGCTGGTGTGACCGAGTTCTGGGAACCCCATAACCAGCAATTCCAGTGTGCTGGTGTCGAGTTTATTCGACACCGGATTCAACCTCGCGGTCTTCTCTTGCCGTCCTACGTCAACACCCCACTCTTGTTGTTCACCGAGCAAGGTAGGGTTTAGTTTTTTTCTTTTTATTAACTTCGAATTCAAGAAAAAAGAATCGATGGATATTGATGGGTTTTAGTTTGTTGCTCTTAATTTGCAGGTAAGGGTCTTCAAGGGGTTGTGTTGCCGGGATGTCCGGAAACCTATGAATCTTCCTCCCAACARCAGTTTTCCGATCCCAGCAAACGTAGAGGATCCAGGGTCCAAGATCGTCATCAAAAAGTGGAGAACTTGAACGAGGGTGATGTTGCTGCCATTCCCGCCGGAGCGGCTCATTGGATTTACAACGACGGTGATACTGAACTTGTTGTAGTCGTCTTCTTCGACACTCAGAACGCCGCTAACCAGCTGGATCAAAACCATAGGGTACAATTACATACATACACTGATTAGTAATTTATTATTAACTTAAATTCCAAATTTGGGATTAAAAGTTTCGAAGTTTCAATAATGTCTCAGAGATTCTTCCTCGCCGGAAATCCTCAAGTCCAGAGCCAACAACAGGGTCAGGGTAAGTGGCAACCAGGCCGCCAACAACAACAACAGGGGCAGGGTCAGTGGCAACCACAGGGTCACGGTCAGGGTCAGTGGCGACCAGGCCGCCAACAAGGTCAAGGTCAAGGTCAGGGTCAGGGGGAACCAGGCCGTCGCCAGGAAGAGCAGTACCGCAACGCCGGCAACATCTTCATCGGTTTCGACGTCGAGTTCTTAGCAGAAGCATTCAATGTGGATAGGGAGACTGCCGAGAAGCTCCAGGGACGAAGAGACCAGAGGGGTCACATCGTTAGAGTCGAACAAGAACTTCAGGTCATCCGGCCACCACAGAGCCGACAAGAAGAAGCACAAGA